TAAAGACTGCTAAGAGCAAAGCATCTCATGCAAGTAGAGGTTCTGCAAGACAGCTCACCTTACTCCAGTGTGGTTTCTCTAAATTGTTCGAGACGAAGTATAAAGCAGGTGAAGATGACGATGACTGTGAAACCTCTGATGATGAACGTTCTAATGGACAGCCCACGTGCCATTCAGCAGACGTCAGAGATGATGTGATTGTTGGTTGTCGAAAAAATCAGGACTCCCGTGGTTCTTTAAAACACCAGAAAGAAGCTAGCACAGCAAATCCAAACGAAAAGTTTATTTTTGATAAAAGTGAGACTTTGAAGCAGAACACTTCTTTTCCTGATGACACAAAGTTTGGAAATACAATTGAGCACCAGAGTGTCACAGACTCGGAAGACAGTGACGTCATCTTGCCTACACAATATACAACTCAGAGATTCCCTAGGTGTAGTACAAGGTGCCAGCTACCCTGTGAAGGCTCTGAAGACTCTGAAACAGAAACTGCCAGAGGTATAAGAAATGATGACAATGATAGGGAAACCTTGGTCAGAGGAAATGAACCAATTTCCAAAACCTTCCGTCCCGAGAGCATGAAAAGGAGAGGCGCTGGCGATGTTAGTGATGAGTCCGATGACATTGAAATAGCCTCCAAGCCAAGAGTTCGAAAGCCAAGCGCTCCGAGGTCTCTGAGGCGTAACAAAGAAAAGGAATGCAGAAGCCAGCGTTACGGTTTTCATAAGGCAGTGGAGGAAGCAAACAAAGTGCATGCAACAAACTTGGATTGTAGCTCTCAGGTTATTGATGACTTTTCATCTTCAGATGATGATTTATCTGCCAGCCATATCAGTTCCCCTAAATCGAACTACAGAAAACAAATTGCAAGAGAGAGAATCCGTTTCTCTTCAAAGTTGCCCAGCCACAATAAGAAAACCACCACTTTTAGACCACGAAAACAAGTGCAATTTTCTGATGAGAAGGTTGTCCGTCAAGAGCAAATATATGAATCAGTGGACAAATTTTTAGGTAACTATATCCTGAAAACCTTTCTTTAAATGTTTACTTTGTGAAATCAAATAATTCTGTAAGCAATTCTTAATATCTTGTGAAATAGCTCTAAAATCAGGACACTACATTGAGACACAAATTAGAAAGGCAGGGGCAGGATAAAGGGAAGACCACCTGGGGCAAACAGGAGTTGGCCATCGACCCCAGAAGGTCTTCCATGTGCCCTGTTCAAGCCACATCCCACTTTCCCCATGAAGACTAACTATTCTGACTCAGCAATGGCTTCTGTACAGCTTTAAAGGTTTTATGACCCTAATATATATCCCTATGTATAAATATTATAGTTTAATCTCACCCATTAAAGAATATGTATTAGTCTCTTTTAATCTCTAGCATTCCTCTTTCATCCCTGCCATTTCTTTACAGTTTCTCTGAGGAACCCGCCTGTATAGAGATTTGTTTCAGTCCGAGTTTGCTGAGTTCATATTCTCAGAGCAGTCAAACATGTTTACCCTCTAATTTCCTGCAAATGGGCAGTTGTCTCCAGAGACTGGAGCAGACTCAGAATTGATCTCATTGATAAGACTGGAGGAGGCATAGAATGTTTGCTGGTCTCCTAATATAGTCTTAGCAGTCATAATATATAAGACCTATATGCTTTCTACTCATCCACAGTAGTAAGTTGGTGATATTTTCTATTTATCTTGTTTATTTTTAATTTATTAGACTACTTTATAAAGAGACATTTCCCCTCATCTATTATTCATACCTGGTGTAACACAGTCATATAGCAAAATCATAAAACATGTTTAATTACTTGGTGTAGCTACCAATGTTTAATATAATGACTTGACTCTCTATTACCCTTTGAGGCTGGTCTGCTTGGTTTTTAATATTAATATGAACTAATTTATTTAAACACATCTATTGGTTTTAATAAACGATAATTCATATAATTAACTAAGTTCATGGTCTCATCTTTGGCCAAGTGGCAATCTTTTAACATAATCTCTTTGGCTTATGAGACCTTTGGACAGGATACTAGTTTTCTTGGAACGTTTCTTTGCTATCCAGTATAGCTTACTGTCACTGGATCACCTCATACCTATTCTGTTCTAGACCTAGAATCAGTCATTTTCCCCCAGAAGTCTTAGTTTCTGTTAGTGAAGAAGAAGGGTATTTCAAGACCATAGTCTGGTGCTAGGAATGATGTTTGCTGCTGGCTTAATGGTTATTTTGGGATCCTTTCAGTGAGCAGATCGTATATATTTATATACAAACACATTGAGGTAAATCAAAAAAGTATTTCTGCAAAATCCTAGAACTGTGATGAAACAAAAATATCACAAGTGAAGCTATTGTTTCTCCACATGTCTTTCATTTCTCTAGCCCTCCCCTCAAAAGAATTGTGAATTCTTCAATTTACACCTCATCAAAATGGCAGTTTGAACATCTTTGAGGGACTCAAGTCTTGTTTGTTTTAAATGTTCTTTGCAGTTTGGGAACAATACGAAGTCTCGAGGAAAAATTCATCAGAACAGCTTTCGGGGTTTCTTTCTCACTGGTGCAGTTTTCATTTTTAAAAACTTCTTCACATTAAGCCCCTTTGATTGTCCGGTGTTCTTTGAGAAAATCCATCATGAGACATGTGTTTAGAGTACACCTGTGCATTAAGGGCTAGAATCCTAGTAACACTACTTTTGCTTTGAAAGATAAAAACAAATTTGAAATCACTTTTATTTTTTAACATGACAGTGGCACCAGAACTCCTTGTTGTTGTTTTTTCAGTTGTTTATTGGCAAATATTTCACATGCCATATAATTTAATTATTCAGTCAAAGGATGCAATCATCTGGTATCCTCTGTTTTAAGACCAAATTCATCTGACATCAGCAATGATATTTCTTGTTCTGTTTCTTCTTTTGAATCTCACTTTACCCTCTGGCAGGTCCCTGCCAATGTGACATACATTACATACTTAAGAAAGGATGACATCAAAGAGCTGAACACAAAAGAGCTGCTTGAGAAGACAAAGCCAAAATTATAATGAAATGTGCAAAACAACTAGAATTAGAGAGCCAAAAGGTAAGAACTTGCTCAGTATATCTGAAAATAAGCCAAGAAAAGTTCAAGCTCCGAGTTAAAATATTGAAAAAGTATATGGACAAAATATTGAATGATGCAGAAAGAAGCAAAAGAGGATGGAAAGAACACAGAGTCGCCGTACCGAAAAGAACTCGTCGACATCTGCTATTTCACGAGCAAGAACCGATGGTGCTAAAGGAAGAAATTCAAGCTGCACCAAAAGTGTTAGCCAAAAACAAGGATCCAGGAATTGGAATACCAATGGAAATATTTCAACAGGCTGGTGAAGCACTAGAAGCACTCAACTATGCCAGGAAATGTGGAAGGTAGCTCCTGGCCAACTGACTGGAAGAGATCGTATCTGTGCCCATTCCAAAGAAAGGTGACCCAACAGAATGCACACCTTACAGAACAATATCATTGATAGAACAGGCAAGTAAGATTTTTCTGATGATCATCTTAACAAGAGTTGCAGCCATACATTGACAGGGGCTGCCAGAGGTTTGGGCCAGTTTCAGAAGAGGACGTAGAACAATGGATATCTTTGCTGATGTCATATGGATGTTGGCTGAAAGCAGAGGATACCAGGCAGATGTTTACTTGGGCTTTATTGGCTATGCCAACGCACTTGACTATAGATCATAACAAACTGGATACCTTGAGAAGAATGGAAATTCCAGATCACGTCATTGTTCTCATTTGGAAGTTGAACATGGATAGTTGTGCGAACAGAACAAGGGAATACTGCATGGTTTAAAATCAGGAAAGGTGTACAACAGGGCTGTATTCTCTCACCATTCGTATTCAATCTGTATGCTGAGCAAATCATCAGAGAATGTTGGATTATATGAAGAATGTGGCATCAGGATTAGAGGAAGTCTAACAGTCTGCAATATGCAAATGACACAACATTGCTTGCTGAAAGCAGAAGGACTTGAAGAGCTTGCTGATGAAGATTGTAACCTTCAATATGGATTACAACTCAATGTAAGAAATACCAAACTCCTCACAACTGGACCAATAGGAAACATCGTGATAAATGGAGGAAAGATTGAAGTTGTCGAGGATTTTGTCTTCTTTGGATCCACGATCAATGCTCACAGAAGCAGCAATCCAGAGATCAAAAGATGGGTTGCGTTCATTAAATCTGTTTCACAAATTCTCTTTCGAGTATTGAGAAGCAAAGATGTTACTTTGAGGACTTTGGTGTGCCTGACCCAAGTCATGATATTTTCATTCACCTCATATGTATGTGAAAGTTGGACATCCAATAAAGAAGACTGAAGAAAAATCAGTGCATTTGAACTGTGGTGCTGAAGAAGAATATTAAGGATACCATGGACTGCTAAAAGCACAAATTGATCTGTCTTGGAAGAAGTGTGGGCAGAGTGCTCCTTAGTGCACTCTGAAGAAGAAAGATGACACTGTCTGCTATTGTAAAGATATGTAATTTTGGAACCCTATATAGAGTTGCCGGCTATGAACCAGAATCGACTTGAAGGCAAGGTAGTAGAAACTTCATCTTACTTTGTGGAGATATTTACACAATTTGTCTGAAGAGACCAGTCCCCGGAGAAGGACATTGTGTTTGATAAAGTGGGACTCTGAAGAAGATGAAGGTCCTCAGGGAAACGGATTGACATTGTGGCTACAGCAAGAGGATCAAGCATAGGAACAACTGTGAGGATGACAGAGGACCGGGCAGGGTTTCCTTCTGTTGTGCATCGGGTCGCTATGGGTTGGAACCAGCCAGATGGCACCTACCTACAACCTAACAGCAACATTAGACTTCTTCAACAGGGTTTTATGATTTACAGTCTTTGGGTCAAACGTTGGTATGCTTCTTCCATGTGCACTTATTTTCTGACTGACAAGCCTTTAGGACCCCAGATACTAGTATTCTTTCTGATAGCTGTGCAACATCTGGTTTCTTTCCCACACTTAATCGCAATACATTTTGACTTATACACATGTGTATAAGAGGGGGTATCCCCTTCCCCCCCAAAAAAACAAAACAAAACAGAAAAAAGGTTCACTGGGTGGACCTTTTGTAGTATTCATTTTTCCCACTAGGTGAGCAACTCGCTCTAAGTAAGTGCACTCAATGGTGTCACCTCGGAAGGTTCTCTGGTCACAGTGAACTTTTTTGTAAAAGCAGTTTTGCTCAACCCTTTTTTGTGTGTGTGATGGCTGATTTAAGAGAACAGCAGGCTGTGAAATTTTGTTTCCTGCTCAGGTAAAGTACCACAGAAACTATTGTGATGTTGAACTCAACTTAAAAGGACATCACTGTGGGAAAAACTCAAGGGTATGACTGGTTTTCTCGTTTCAAAAGAGGTGCAGTGTCGATTGATGACAGTGTCGTCTAGACATCCATCAACTTCCTGAACAGATGAAAATGCCGACAAAATTTGTGCACTTGTATCGAAGACCAACAACGGACCATTGACAAAATTGGGAGGTTATCTTGGAGCTCAGTTCAAATTTGAATGGAAGATTTGGGAACGAGAAGGATCGCTACAGAATTTGTGCCTCAGGTTCTGACTGACCAGGAAAAAGTGTGTCCATATGCTGTGCTTTGAAAGAACAGCTCCAAAGTGGCCCAGACATTTTTCCCCAAGGTCATTACAGATGATGATACATGGTGCTATTCTTACAAACCCAAAATCAAACATCAATCAAGCCATTAAACACCATCATCACCTTGACCAAAAAAAGCTCATCAGGTGAAATGAAAGATCAAGACAATGCTCATTTGTTTTTTTGATGTGAGGGAGATAGTGCCTTTGGAGTTTGTTCCACCAGCTCAAACTGCTAATCACGCTTTCCATTTAGAGGTTCTGAAAAGATTGTATAATAGTGTGCAACAAAAAAGGCCTGATTTTTGACAGACGGGGGACTGGTTTTGCCACCATGACAATGCACCTGCTCAT